AACAGTTATGGGTACCTGTTATACATGGATAAGCAATTAACTTCTACAGTTATATATAAATGCAGTATGAAAAAAAATTCATTCACATAGACTTTCATCATAAAATTCCATTCCTATGGATTACTATAATGATTCACTTTTTTCAGAGTCAGTAACTTGTTTCTTTTATCCGTCTTGAGTAAAACTTTCCACAAAAACCAAAACATAACCAGTTGGAGATAACAACTAAAAGGCCTTCATGCCAATAAGCCCCAAACTGGGATTAGTTTTGTAGCAATTTTTTTCTTTTCAATATGACAATAGAAGAATGTTAATAAACATCAGTAAAGTTATTAGGCAGTCAATGAACTACAGCTATGCTTTGTAAGTACCATTAGGATTCCTTACTTGGTTTATTGTAGTTCTGATACAACTTTATTTTAGATAAATATATGAAAATTAAAGGAAAAATTAATGTCATGATTGGATAGAGAGTTGTGTTAGAGAAAGAAAAAGAGGATACTACAAGGGAAACATGAGATCATCTTAATTAAAGGATGAGTAAGAGCCAGGAAATTGAGGGAGACAAGGATAAGCACCACTGTCCACAGTGCATCGTGAGCAACAACAATCAAAAACTCGATTTCTAAGATCAATAACATTGCAATTTCAGTATAACAATATGAGCTTGATGTTATATATTCACTTGCACTGCAAGCTCTACTTGAAGGTCAAGGGAAGTGCTTTTAAGAACAAAAGGGTGCTTTTGGAGATTATTTATAAGTTAAAAGAGTGAAAATGTAAGAGAGAAACAGCTTTTTCATCATCAGTTTGTGACCAAGAAAACTCAATAAATTTAGTTTGTAAAAATTGCTCTCATGGTTAGATAAATTGTATTAAATGCAATCCAACCTAATTATGGATTAGATCAAATTCAATAATGAACTCAAATCTACCTTATTCAACTTTAATTAGTTTCCACACAATACTCTTATTAAGTTCCTAGTACAAAACTGCAAAGAGTATAAAATAATTAGAGGAATCAGAAGTCAAGTGAGCAACAACAAATTGAGATAAGCACAAAAAACTTAAAAATAATATAAATGATTAAATACGTGAAGACTTATGATCAAAGGATGCTACATAGAAAATAGAAAGTGAAAATACTATCACTTGTAGCATAAACTTACAGACATTCACAGCATTGAAGATGGTTTTTATAGTTAAGTGCAGCAACATTTATCATGTCCACCTCCTGTTGACTTTTGGAGGAAATGAAGGAAGCAACTCCAAACATTCACGATAATTTTCATGCTTTAAAAGTAGATCTACAACTATGGAAAATGTGGATTCATCTGGCGTTACATTTCTGTCCTTCATTTTGTGAAGAAGTTCAACCACTTTAGCAGCCTCATTATTTTGTAAAAAACCTCGCATAAGAGTATTGTATGTAACAACATTTGGAGCACAACCATTCTTTTCCATATCTGATAACAAATCATATGCCTTTTGTAGTTTCCTTTCTTTACAAAACCCATGGATTAAAATGTTATACGTCACAACGTCTGGCATTAAGCCTTTTTGAGGCAACTTGTGAAATAACTCTAAAACTATTTCAAGCATTCCTCTTTTACACAACCCATCAATGAGGCTGTTAAAGATTTCAATACTAAGTTTAAACTCATAGTACTCTAAAGTACGAAACCATTTTGCTGCCTCCAGAACACAACCATTCTTGCATAGCCCATTGATCAAAATATTAAATGTAAATGAATTCGGTGCAACATTATCAAGTTTCATCTCATCAAATAGTTTCTGTGCAGCTCCAACCTTATTTGATAGAAATAGACTAGTTAACAAACCGTTATATGTATATACTGTTGGTCTAATTCCCTTTGAAATCATTTCCTTGTACAGACTCATAGCATTCTCTAACTTCCTATTCTTGCCATAGGCATTGATCAAAGTGGTATAACTGACAACGTTAGGCTTACAACCCTTGCTCTCCATGGAGATTAAAATATCCCTTGCATCATCAAATCTACCAGTCAAGCAATAACCATCCATCAAACTGCTATAAATAAATGTGTTTGGTTGCAAACCTCTTTGGATCATCAATTCCAACAACCAATTAGCTTCCTCTATCTTCCCCTCCTTGCAAAACCCACTTATCATTGTATTATATGTCAGTAAATCAGGCTGCAAACCTTGATCCGCCATCTCAATAAATAAGCCTTTAGCCTCCTCCAAATTTCCCACAAAACACCAACCGTAAATTAGAGAGGTACAAATAACCACATTTGGTGTAATTCCATTATCCTTCATTTCCAGAAACAGTTCTTTCGCTTTATCTACCAAACCATCTTTGCAAAGACCGTAGATAATACTACCATAAGAAACAATATTAGGTTTACAAATAACACCCCCTTCACCATTCCCATTAACCATTTCTTCGTGTATCCTAAGCGCATTACTCGTATTCCCTGTCCGACACAAGCCGATAATCAAAGTTTCATACGTAATCACGTCAGGCCTAACCCCAAACACAGCCATTTTCTTGAACAAACTCATAGCCTCCGTACCCCTATTCTCCAAAGGCAAACCTTTAATCAAAGAGTTGAAAGTCACATTATCTGGGCTAAAACCCCGCCTCAAAATACTTCCAAAAACAACAAAACCATCACAAACTCGACCCACATTACAGAAGCAATTAATCAAAATATTCAAAGTAACAAGATCCGGCAACAACCCCATTGAACCCACTCGCTTGTAAAGCAAAATGACGTCTTTATAAAACTTCTTCTTAGCAAGAGCTCCAAAAAACCGGTTGAATGATGAAATCGGTGGTTTGGGTTGCATATGAATCATTAAACAAAAGAAATAGCGTGCTTCATCAAGAGTGATATTACCTTCTTTACAGTCTTTTTGAAGGAATTTATCAAGCCTCGCTACCTCTTCAACGTTATGTACTGAATCTTGTGGCATAGTTGTAGTCACTTTACATGAATTGGTGAATAAAGATGAGAGTTTTGTCTTCGTCACCGTTTCAGAACAAGAACAACAACGACGAAGAAAGGTTTTGGACGCCATTTGAGTAGCGGCGTTTGTGGATTACCCCCTATCTAGGGTTCAATCTGGCTTAGTCTTTTGTGGAAAATAACAGTGGGATAAAATGTAGTTGTCTGAAACCTGTAGGGTTGACAAATAATTATCCAGACACTTTCAGGCAGTTTCAGCCTTTCACTCCCTCTCTCATTCTATCTTTAATGTAATACTGTAATGACACGTATTAACCTTTGCTCTTCATCTTATTTATAAACCATATTTGCTATATTATATTACAACTTTGCCATTTTCTTTATTTTTAAACATACAATTTTGTTTATTTTTAATAGGTTACAAAAAATTGAATATGAATAAAATTAAACAATTTTTTTATCATTTTTTTTGGAAGAATAATATAAAATAAATCATTAATTTCAAATCAAATCAAAAGCTTATTTTTAATAATATATTTTTTATTTACATTTTTATCTTAATAAAAATTGAAAATGGGGGCTTAATAGAAAATAGGTGGGGGATATTTAGCATTACTCTTTATTGTATGATTAAAAATTTTATTATTAATACCATTTACACCTTTATGTTGAAAAGAATGTAAAAATGTAATAAGTTTGTAAATATAATAAATAATTTATAAAAATGTGTACAAAAATAATTAATTTGTTTTAAAGCATAATATCGTGTCATTTTTTTTTTTTTTTTTAAAGATGTTATTCATACATACTAATTGAGTAATGTACCAAGTTTGTAAATATACATTCCAAGACACAATAAAGCATTACTTTGTTCGCATTATGTATGAACGAAAGTAAATATGAATACATTCTTGAATGTATTTGTTATCCACGGATGGAAGTAAATAAATAATTTTGAATTCAATGAAGCATTATTATTGACTATAACCCACTGTTAGTATGGTTATTAAAAAAGTTTACTCTCTTCCTTGAGTTCTTGTATTCAAATTTTGGAGTCACCTATTACAATAATATTTTAGCTTATCCAGTCCTTTAGGTTTATAGGGTGTTCAATTAACCCATACAATTAACTGAGATGCACGCAAGCTGACCTGAATACCTCGATTACCAAAAATGTTAGTCTCTTGTTTTTTCTTCCTCCATGCAAGATTATCCCAATTTCAACCAATTTTGTAGCCTGCTTTTCGTTAAACTTTCTTTTCAATTTTGGATCAACAGTCTCCTTTATCCAATTCTCCTCCTGACATTGCAATTTCCTTTTCACAACCATCTCCACTATTACAATAATATTTTGACTTATCCTGATCTTTAGGTTTGTAGGATGTTCAATTAACCTATACAATTAATTGATGTATACGCAAACTGACATAAAAACCTCGATTACCATAAATGTTGGTCTCTTGTTTTTTTCTTCCTCCATGCAAGATTATCCCAATTTCAACCAATTTTGTAGCTTGGCTTCCGTTAAACTTCCTTTTCAATTTTGGATCAACCATTTCCTCTATCCAGTTCTCCTCCCCACATTTCAATTTCCTTTTCACAATCTGCACAATTCTTGTCACTCAGCTTCTTACTCCTCCATCACCTTCCTCTACTGTCAAATTCGAAACTCAAATTCCTTTCACCATTTCGAGAATCACCCTCCGTAGCTATACACATCAACCTTAGAAGTAATACGAAGATTCATAGCTCACTCTGGAGCTATGTAACCCTTTTGTACCGCGAATCTTAGAGACTTCTAAAGTTTGTTTGCATAGATGTAGTTAAATAAATATACATGTAACATAAAGTTTTTAACTTAAAAAATAATGAGTTGTTGAGAGAGTTAACAAAAACGTGCTGAAAATATATTATAAAAAAATATTATCAAATATTTTAAGGGTAAAGTCGTAATTTCACCAAAGCTCGATAATACAAAATACCATATAATAGCATGTCTAGTGACGCCACGTGTTGGCAGCCCAACTCTAATCAACACATTAGTGGAGGAGCAAAGAATTAAATTGACTTTAAATTATGAAATACATTATTCTTTTAAGTTATTAATTCAATAAAACCATCATCATGCTTTTCCAGCTGAACCAAAAAGATGCATCTTCTCAGCAACAACGGCTTTCATGGCGTCTTTCGCAGCTGCCATGACATGGACCAGATCCTTCTTCGGGCTCTTGAGTGACTCCATGTAAGCCGTGCGTACCTCAGTGTTCACGTTGAATTTCGTCACACCTCTCTCTATACATCCCTGTTCAAATCAAACAAAATGTGCATACATGATATGGATACATCTTTAGATTTTATTATTAATATTTTCATTTTTCGGTTTCTGAATTACTATTAATCTCGACATGAAAAGATTTACCTTGATGAGTTCCACTGACAAACCAGAGGCTCCATGAAGCACCAAATAAACACCTTTCTTTGAGCTCAAGGCATGCAGATCCTAAACATGGAAGAAAAGTGGGAATGAGCAAACAAGTTAATGAGGATAAAGCTAGGGTCGAAGGTGTAAGATTTTAAATACTATAAAACAGGATTGATCGGAAAAATCTGTTTAACGAATGAAGAGTTTGAACTTAAAACACGATTGATCGGTGACTTTAGGCGTTAACATTCAGTGTGTTTGTAGTAACCTCAACTTAACAGAAAAAGCTGAAGTAGAAAAATGTACGACATTTATACTTCACCTTCAGCAAATCGAGTCTCAGATTGGGGCCACTTGGAGGGTATTTTCCATGGACATTTCCGATACACACAGCTAAAGCGTCTATACCAGTCTCATCAATGAATTCTTCAGCCTGAAATTTGATTTACAGATTGTGACGATATTGATAATGTATAGCATGAGGAATGTTATTTTCTTAATTACATCACATCAGAACCTGATTAATGTCAGTCAGCTTTGCTTCATAATCTTCAACAGTCAAATCATCCTCCGTTCCTGACAATCTTCCTAGTTCGGCTTCTACCAGCAGATCTTTTGAGTGGGCCAAGCGAGATATGAACTTTGTATACAAGATATTATCCTTGAAGGGAAGATGTGAACCGTCGGCCATGACTGAATCAAATCCCTGGCATGGTTGGATTCATAAAAGCAATTTCAGAGACAATGGGTACTAATGAAATATTGGGAAGTTGTTAAAACTTAACCATTTTGTAACTGCAAGATGAACTAATAATAGACATTGACGGAAATCATGCTTAACTCACCAACTCAAGAGCTTCCATCAACTCTTGCTTTGAATTTCCATGATCGAAGTGAACAGTTATGGGTACCTGTCGTACATGGATGTGCAATTAACTTATACAGTTATATATAAACGCAGTATGAAAAAAAATTCATTCACAAAGACGTTCATCATAAAATTCCAGTCTAGGGATTACTATAATGATACACTTTTTCCAGAGTCAGTAACTTGTTTCTTTTATCCGTCCAAAAACCAAAACATAATAAGTTGGAGATAACAACTACAAGGCCTTCCTGCCAATAAGCCCCAAACTGAAATTAGTTTCGCAGCAATTTTTTTTTTTTTCAATATGACATGAGAAGAATGTTAATAAACATCAGTAAATTTATTAAGCAGTCAATGAACTACAGTTAGGCTTTGTAAGTATCTTTTGAGATTCCTTGTTTATTTTAGTTGTAATACAATTTTATATTAGATAAATATATGAAATGTCACTTACACTGGCCCTTTCAGCAGCAGAAATACAGCACGCAACCAATGGAATTCCTCCTTCCTTTAGAGCACTAGGATGAATCTGGAAAAAGAAGATCCATAATTTAGAAATTTGCTGACATGAAAATTAAAGGGAAAATTGATGTCGTGATGGGATAGAGAGCTGTGTTAGAGAAAGAAAAAGTGGAATATACAAGGGAGACATGAGATCATCTTAATTAAAGGATATGTAAGAGCCAGGAAATTGAGGGAGACAAGAACAAAACCACTGTTCACAGTCCATCTTTAGTTAATTCATAAAATATTGAGACTGATTCAAAAATTATAGGAATGCATGACTAAATGACAAGTACCGAATCTTGGTCAATGTCCAAATTGTTCATTGAATTGTAGACTGATTCTAACCTGTAAAATGGCGGGGCTACGCTCTTCCTCAGCAGCAGCAACAACTGCCTCCACTCCTTCCATGTTATAAACATTGAATGCTCCGACAGCATATTTACCCTGGTCTGCATTCTTTTAACAGAATATTATTGTCAGTATCAGTGGATGAAACTAACTGTAAAAATCTTACAATTGATACTTACAATTAGGAGCTCCTTTGTTGATGAAAGTCTGGCTGGACGAGCCCAAGATTTCACCACTTGTGCGAGTGCATTATTGTCACCAACATTACCTAAAGCAAATTTCAGAAGTTTTAAGATTCAAATACATAATTCTAACAGATATTCCAGAAACAAATAAATTTTAAATTTACCAGGGAACACTATGTATGGAACTCCTGGGTGTCTACTTTCAGGACCTAGCTGCCATAGGGGAACACCAGCTAGGGCTTGCCCAACTACTTTGGCACGCTTTGCTTCTAAAGCTTTTGTAGCAGTGTCTGATGATGTAATTCCCCCCTAAAGAGGAAAAGCAAAAAAAGAAGGTTTCTTAAGAATCAACCAAAATGAAACTCCTGATAAATATTCAAATGAACAATTACAAAATTCAGATATTAATCAATCATATTATGCAAGTTCAAATTTTCCAAGTGACTACTATAGTCAGCACCCAGGGGCTGTAACCTAGGCTCAGAGGCATTAAATCCTTAGAAAGTACTCTGTCAAAAGTTGCTTGTCAATTAAACCTTAAAAAAACCAACTAAAAATAGCGTAAAAATTTAGGAGATATTAGAAAGGGAAAGAGGAACGATATGGAATTCAGGAAGTCAGCAGCCACTGGTTCAAAAAATCTTGGAGGATTGTGTTCGATGCAAGGGTCTTGTTAATGTTATAAGTGTACAGTAGTTATACAATACAAATCTGTATATCACTTAGTTTTACAGATACCTCAATCAGGGCCGAGTGGACATTTGGTCCATCTCTTCTCTTATCATTATATAATTTCAGTGCCTTATAAAAATAAAATAATAGAAGCAGATAGCAGCCATGGGTTCTATCGTAACAATAGAGCACTCAATTTGAAGTATTAATATACCTTTGCAAGAATGTAACGGGGTCTTGTAGTTATACGCCTAACTATTTCCACCAGCGCAGAGCTCACCTTGAAATTGATTTCCAAACTCTCAGAAGAAGCTGCCAAAAAGATAAAAATGTCATTAGAAGAACAAGAAAATAAGTAATATTTCCCATACTGAAGAAATATCCATACTATTATCTGCGTCTTTTCTCATAGTGAAAACATACATCTTGTTTCAACATTTAAATATAAGTCTATATGTGCAAACTGTTTGGCAACTTTCTTACAGAAAAAAATATTTTTTTATGTTTAAATATTCACAAAACATTATCTAATAACAATTAATAAGCAAAATAATACATTAAGGCAGAGGAAACTAACTTTTTCCAGTGATGAGTTCTCGGCTCGTCATTACAAGAGTATCTTTCCGACACCGAAGGAGTACGTCTACCATCTCAACCGTTCTATTGATTTCCTCCTCTCTTTCTTCTAATGATTTCATTGCAACTTTATCAACAGAAACCTATTCATCAGAAAGAATGGTGATGAAGATCCTTGATGCTAATAACACTTGAGATTCAAAGACAGGTGGTACTCTAACCCAGTGGCTACAGTCTCCTCTTACTAAAACAACTAAATTGACCCTAAAAGAATACACACAGAAACTTTGTGTTGGCTCACCTCAATGCTTCTTATGATATGTCCACACTGTGATTTAAGCTCTCCAACCTGTGGAGTTAAAGAAATATCATGTGAGAATAATACAGAAAAATTAACATCGCAGGGAATTTCAGAACAGAAAGTCAACCTGTTTTGTAGTTTTTGGTACATATGATCCCACAACTATGATGGCACCATTTGTTTCTCTGTTGATTCCCAAATCCTTTGGCAGAATTGGAGCTTTCGGGATAATTCCAATCCTGGCAGAAACAAAGCTAGCAGCAGTACGGCATATGAAAGACTTTCCCTTCAATTCTGCCTGTTAATTGAACATAGCTTAGAAAAGAACTTCCCAATGCTTTCAGCAACCCGAGCCAAAAGAATATAAGGGTGAAAATAGTGTAAGAATAACCGAATATCATGCCTGGATCATTCCAGCTGCAAAGACAGCCATATCTCTCTCACTAGCAGCATTAACTATGCACGTAGAACCCTGCTTCACCCAATAAATGAGAGACATTGTGAATAATACTGTCCAGCTTAATAGATTTTTACAAGATTTCCCATAATTTTGTTAAGGAACTTTCATTAATTGACACTTGAGAGTTTGAAATGCAATTACTTGTATGCATAAAATAAATAAAAGTATCAATAGTAGATCCATACATTAATGTTCCTTAATATAGTTTATCATATTCTTATTAGAAAAAACATCATGTACCTTCTGTAGACTGCAAAGATGTTCACAAACTGCATCTGGTCCTCCTTTCCTCAGAAGTTGGACAGAAATAGATGCAACACTGCTGGCTGAAATCCGTCCTGCTGTTTTCTCTTCTACCCACTAAATTCAGACAAATAGAATTACAAGAGTACAACTCAAACTCAACTCATTTTCAAGAATAGATGAGACCATTATCATTTTAATAGAAAATGGAATTATCTAGACCTCTCGCAGGTTTGACGACTTATAGCCAAAAGCAGCATCCTTCGCAAATTCCGTGTCTCCAGCAGGAACAAGCCTGCAAACATCATCATCCAAAACCGTATTAACATCAGCAAAAGCAATCTCTCTCTTCTCTCCTGGTATGTGTATTGTACAAGGGAAAGCGTGACAGAAAGACATACCGATCAACGTCTGCAACATAATGTACATCTTCAATAGTATAACGACCTCCTTGAAGAAAAAAGGGGCAAATTATTGATGCATCCATTTCACCCAATACTGACACAGCAGCATCTGTCTCCTATAATCAGGCAGCATCATGTCATGATGAAGTTAAAAGTTTAATTTGCAGTACTGTTGACATTATAATATTGAATTCGCTAAAATTTCTGTCCTTGCCTCTGGAAAATGACCACGTAATGTTGAATCACCTCTCAAAACTACTGTGAATTTAGTATTCTCAACTGAATTAGCTGCTGTACAGAGGTTTCTGCAGATTTCTTTGGTCAATTCACCAGCCTGTGAAAAGCCAATCCTCTAATCAGAAATATAAGTCTTAAAAAAATGTATGTATAGAGAGAATCACTGATTGAGAGAAATTTCAAAATAAGAAATTAAATTATACTGATAAAAAAAAAAAGAAATAAGAAATGAATAATTTCCAGATCTTGAAGAACAAATTACCTTTTCAGAGCTCAGTGCCCTGGAGTTAGTCAAAATGAAGAAGCACAAAGGTTTTTTTGTAAACTGCTCAACAAGTGACTCAACACTCCTGCAGAGGAGCCCACAAGTAGGAGAGTTGAAGAACGCCGTAAGGAAAGCTCAACTTGTTGAAATAAATTGATACTAATTACAAAATAGAATGAAGATCTAAAATGTCATAATTTCCCTAGATATGAAAACAAAATGAATCAATCTGGGTTTTACAATAATACGCTATATAAATCCCAATCCCTCATACATAACAATGTGAAGATAACAATTGGCAGAGGAAATATATAATCATACAGAAAGAACAAAACTCACCATTCTGTCAATACTTCAATATCATGAACAGTTTGGGTCCCAGTTGGATCATCATCTAGAACAACGAGAGTCTTTGAACTGTTCTGAATTAGTCCCTTTGTATCATCAATGGGATCCACTGGCCACTCAGATGGCAGAGATTGCAAAACAACTTCTTTCTTAACCATGGGAAGCTTTCCTTCAACTTTAACACCAGTAAGTGTCTCATACACCTATGGAACACAGAGTCAGTACACCTTGGCTGGCACCAAGAATATAACAATCAGAGGTGATTATGTCCAAAGCAAAAAACTTTAAATACATTTCTGAGTGTTTCTTGTAACATGAAATTTCATAGCAATAACATTAAATATAAATATGGAGCCAAAACTGACTTGTTACTTAAATGAAATATTGTTTCTACTGGGCTAGCGATAAAAATCCCCCTGAGAAATCTAGAAATAACAAAAACCCTCCTATCATCAAATTTTAGGTTTAAAATAAACCATACAAGGGAAATTAAGTAAATATTTCTTAACTTATAATAGTATAAGTCTATCCGTTCACTAGTGGTTCCACAAAGACATAAGGATTTTTGTTATTTTGGAAATTTCAACGGGATTTTCATTATTTTGGAAACTTCAAGGAATTTTCGTTATCAGTTAAACCTCAGGGGTTTAAACATAACTCTTACTAATAACATAAAACTTCTAACAGGTTAAGAAAAAAACTTGTCACATAGAAGTTCATGTTCGTATTAAATGAACGTGGGATGTAAATACACAGGGCCTGGGCCGGGCTTGCTTGGGTTTGGCACAAGGTCCCTTTTAAAGGGGTCTTTTGAAATTGTATTTGATGTATGGATGCTGGAGTAATTTTCCAGGGGGTTACTTGTAATTTTACTATATGAAATAGAGATGGAGTAGTTTTCACAGGGTTTTCTGAAATTTTGCTCGATAAGATGTGTGCATCTTAAATTTTTAGGGGGTTAACAGTAATTTTCCAGGGGTTAACTAGAGTTTTTTAAATTTTCATATAATAAACCCGGGCTTGGGCAGGCTATGCCCCAGACCTGATTTTCCAGGCCCTGCCCGGCTTCCCTTTTTTTACATCCCTAAACTAAAAAGATTAGTATAGTAGCTTAAAAGAAAAAAAAAATTGAAACAGACTGAGACTAGTAACACTGAACCTAGGAATTGAAATATTGAATTAAAACTTGTAACAATAACATAAAATGTGTGCTAAGTTTCATGTGAATTGTAACATAAAACATAATACTTGGGACATATAACTTGCAGTATTAAACACAAAGTTGTAAACATCATGCAATTATACAAAGAAATATAATACTTGAACATAATTGAAATATATTAACTTAAAAACTATGACTAAATGTGACACTAGCTATTAGTAGATCATATTAGAACAATAACCAAAAAAAAAAATCTGAGGCATTAGGCATAAATTTTCTGTTTTCTCAGATTCCTGTGAATATAAAAATGCAGATGATAATTGAATAACAAAAGCTCCCGCTCAAAATAATAGAGGCAAACCACAAATAAATGTTACATTGACATATGAAACATTAAACCACTTATTTATTTATATTTTTTTTTGGAGAAAAAAGCATCATATCATTACTTCGGCTATATGTACAGACCTTAACCACACCAGCATCATCTTGACGACCCCAGCCAGCAGCAGAGCCTGCTCAAGAGTAGTATTATGAGTGGGTACTATATGCTAACTCACTCAAATATTATAATAAGAAAATAATAGACAACAAAATTTAATAATCGAAAAGACTGTCCGTTTTCAACATAAAAATTGATATTGCAATATCATTTTCTGCTACTAGAACTGTTCAATGAAGACTATTTGCTAAATGTTAAAAGGATTCAAAGAAATTTTGCTATATCATATCCCTCGATTTGGAATACAACTAATATATGAACTTCTTGGCATACCGAAGAGAAGTTAACTCTGATCAAACTTTTTTTGAGACTTCATGGGGACATAGCAACTCAGTTTAGTTCAAAGAATTGCAAATCGAAATATTTAAGAACCCTCCATATGTAAACTGTTCTTAAAAATTAATATGAACAAGAGACTGGAACAGCACGATTGGCAAGACAAATCTAGAAGATAAGATTTACGTGCGGTGTCTAAAAACACAAAGGAAAACCAAGGGTGCATAGGAATCAGACTGGACAGCAGTGTGTAAGAAATTCTCTCCAAAGTTTCTGCATAGTAATATACAGAACTGTCTTTCACCAATAATATGTAAGGCATTTGACAATAAACAATGTCCTTTTTTCCCTTCCGTAATTTTATTTCTATTTCAATGTAAAGTATGCAAGGTCACCTAAAGCATGCTTCATTCTTTTAGATCATTTACATCAATATTAATTATATAGAAAATTGAAAAGAATCTATATTTAGGTAACAGGTCTTCTAAAGTTAAAAACAAAAAATAACATAAAGTGAACTTGAACAAATTTACTATAAAAGTCGAGTGCTCTTCACCTGCCAAGAACAGTTGATGTGCAATAGTTGAAATATGCAGCGGAACTTTTTGAGCTGAGCTTTCATGAGTAACAATACCCTGTAGACAATTACAAGAAGTTAAAAAGATTGTATTTTCATTAAAACAAGTAACAATACACTATCAATAATTTATTAAAACAAGTATTTTCATTCAACATGAAGAGTAGCCAATGTTTTAGCTGACCAGATCCTTCACAAAGATATCGAGTGCAGAGTGAGGTGTGTAGTCATTGTCTAACATATGTGGACCACGATTCTCAAACATCCTGCAAAAGATGTAAAATCTGCTCAGACTAACTCATAGGCTTGTAATACTTAACATTATTTCAGATCTGCAACAACGTGTCTTGAAGGTCATTTGTCAAGGTGAACTTCATATGATCATTGTGTAAATTGTATTAAAAGACAAGTGATCAACTTTTGAAACTTTTTATGAAAATATGTAAGAATTCTAGTGAACATCTTCACCAATTTTACGGGTCGTAACTATCATTTGGCATAATTGCGTGGTGTCATCTGATTAGGTTAGGCACAAGAACATTAGCACAATGCATTACGGTGTCACTCAAGAGTCAAGAACGTTAGAATCATGAACTAAGGTTAGACAGGCCTACAACCGAAGGTTATTTAATGCCACTTTTTATTAGATTTTGACATTTAACCTTTTGCCAGTCAAAATCAAATGAAATTGAAGTTAACAAGCACAACTCACAAGATCTTTTTCATAAATGAAGCAATCACTTAAGATATAAAATAGCTTAATTGCTTTTTACATGATGCATACCAAGATGTTCCCCCACTGTTGGAGATGATATCAAACAACACTCTGGTATTAAGACCTAATCGAGCTCCAAAGGCCATCGCCTCAGCTGTTGATGCTATATGGACTCCAGCAAGCAACTGATTAACCATCTTTACACCACTACAGAACATATTAAACGTAAATATAATAACTACTCATTTCCAAGCACATCCAAAATACCTAATGCATGACATACCTTCCAGCACCACAACCCCCTTTGATAACATAAAGCTTCTCACTTAATGCTGTTCATGGTCAAAAACCACATGTCAATGTGAATTTAGAAATCTTTCCACCAAAGAATGGACATGATATAACATGATCCTTACCTGAGAGAACTGAACCCGTGCTTGTAAGGGCTTCATCTGTACCGGCAGCCATTATCTGATAATAATAAATATACCGTAGTTGCAATTTTAGTCAACAAAATTGTATAAAAATCAGTTTCCTTAGAAGGAAAAGGTCTTTGCGCACCGTAAGTTCTCCGGTGGATGCCCTCTTAACACCACCAGAAACAGGAGCATCTACCAATTTCAAATCCTTGCCTTCAACTATGACATTGGCAGATACATTAGTGTATGAAAGAACCATAAGAGAATGAAATGTTGAGGAATTATAAATGTGTTCATTTCTTGCCTAAAAATCCAATGGAGGGAAAGAAACCAGAAGTTTGAGAATCAGAGTGCTCTACATTTGTAGTTCTACTTTTATTATTTGGACTGTTGATCCACTCCTTTCTAATTCTCATCTTTCATTTTTCCCAATAAGGTTTCTATTTCCTACTCAGAAAGAGAGAGAGAGAGAAACTAACTTCAGACCCATTTCTTCGTACAGCTAAGATTCCTTGGTCTAATCTAAGGTCAAGTGTAGTAAGTTGATGGATTAAACAGATTTTTTATCTACTGAAATGGGAGCAATCATTCCCTGATGTGATACAAGAAGACATCACCAGAACAACATTTGATAACTGTTCTATTACTACGGATTCTAATTTCAAGCAGTGGGACCCAATACCTTTCTGATCTAAAAACTTTAGCTAGAGTACCGTAAGCTTATTGTTCCATTATGCCACTTGCAACCTTAAGAATAAGGGGCTCCAAGTTTAATAAGTAAACAATAGAGATGTAAATTCACCAAGCAAGAGTTGTGGTTTGCATAAACAAACAATTGATAAATATATCTAATCAAGGGCATACGTTGCAAGCGCCGCTCTAGTTGAACCACGAATCCCAGAGAGACAGTGGATGAAAGGATTATTGATGCTCCAGATGGAAGAGCTATAAGAAAAGGCACATTGCTGTTAGTGCAGCTAAAAATATGTAGCCACTATACTGATAATGACTTGAGAATTACCTGGAACTGCACCATGATCTCCATACAAAACACTCTCTGCTTGAGATTCATTTGTAACCATGACTACAAGCACATCAATGTCTGAAATGGAAAATGTGTCAAAAGGATGTATATTGTTCCATGAATAACATTGAGCATGAAGCATTATGATACAGTTCCAAAAGTTTGATTATCAACTATCCATTCAAGTATGGAATTGAGATACAAAGGTAAATGGATTGATGTGCTTGTACATCAACAGGCAAACACACACATGTATGAATGAGTTAATAAGCAGCACGAAGACGAGTGTGCATGTAATTACCCACATCTAGTCTAGAGCAAAGGCACCATTTTCAAGCATAAGATGGTATCAAACTTGATATTACGATAACTGCACGCCTTGGGCAGCAAGCCTTAGCTTGTCGAAGCTCCATAATTGCAAGGTTCAGTCTCACAGCCAATCAGTTTTTTATTCTTATTTAATTGCTTATATACGAACTTAGATTGGTGACTTTTAAAAAATGACTTGTACCTTTAGATACTTCTTCTGGAGAGTTCGCAATTAAGCCACCAGCATTTTCAAATCGCGTAAGTGTTGGTTTATAAACCTGTAATCCATAAAAGATGCAAATAAATTGATATTTAAATATAGTGATGTGGAAAAGGCATCTAAAGAAATATGCACTCAGAAACTCATATACTTTTTGCATTCTGGCTGGAAATATCCATATAATCTGGTACAACAGTCCAAACTAAAGGTTTAAGCGACTACTTGGAAAGTTCCAACTCACATTACAAGCCATACTAGAAACTATATGCAACCAATATGGATAATAAACATTACTAAACACACTCACTCTGGAACAAGCCCAACGGAAGACATAATTTAATCGTCCTACTTTGACCTGGAAACAGATAGGCATACAACCCAGAAACTGACCAGGTACATGACGCAGAAAATTCAACAGGGAGATAAACAAGTCTCTAATGCCATACTGAAATATTAAACCAAGAGCTCAAGCTATTAGGTGGAGAAGCCTAACTTGTATGCAAACCTATTCTAACTATCAAATGCAATTAAAATTGAACATTATTTAACACATAAATCTGCGCCCAAACTCCTACAATCCACGTACAATGACATGGTCTCAGGCCACCTCAAGTACAACACAAGGACAGGTCACTTTTAGTCCCTAAAATCATGATACCAAATGACCAAGTAAAAGAGTCAAAAAATCTACACAGTGCCTAATGGATTGTTAACGTTTCAAATGCATGAACAGATGATCCACCCAACTTGAATACCAAAGGAGAAAACCACAACTTTTGCCATTACAACAAAGACAGTGCAGGGAAGATACTATAGGCACTTTTTTTATCATTGTATGTACAGAAAGTAGATTTTGAATATCAAGAGCCTTAATAAATATGTCATTGAACACAGAACTACTTTAATGCTTCAAACCTCTAAGAAAGGAAAGAAAGTACAATAGCATTTGCTAAGTCATCTTCTTAGTTAAATGAAAGGGCGATCATCCAAAGAGGCGATTAAAAAGCTTTCACAAGACAACCCAAGGTCTATTGACATTATTCTTCATCAAGAGTCGATTTTCTTTCAAAACCCTATATCAAGCTGGATCAGCAAAGGGTTCAGTCTTTCAACACAGATAGATTGAAGGGATGACATCATAACTAGTGATGCAGAAATTCAATCTCATCCAGTGAAACCAGACACAAAATTACTACTATATCAAACAGTCTCATCAAATAATTGACACTCTTAATAGAGAAAGGTGGAAGTGAGAGATTACATCATAACCAACAACAGAACAAAATTTCAGCAGGTGAGTAGCCATGCCAAATCCCATTGCTCCAAGGCCAATGAAACCAACTCGCTTAACAGTATTTGATTTGGCAATGATTTGTTGTGCAAGTTGCTCCGGTTGGTAGGGTTCCAGATTGGCTGCATCTATGATATTCACTCCCATCACTTTCTCCCAAACCTGTTCAAGAATTGTACAGTGAATAGATAGATATGACCAAACCAATGTTTTGAAATCTGAAACTTTTTTTTTTTAAATAAATTTTTGGTCTATGAAATTGCATACACTGGGTCAGCTTGTTTTGCAACTTGACTAAAAGCCAAAAAAAAAAAAAAAAACTCTACAGACTAACCTTAACCAATGGGGTGCTACCATCATCACCATGAACATGAGACCCTGAAAAAGAAATGTAGAACACAGGTAAGATGAAACCAGATTGTTTTAAACCCCTAAAAGATCATCACATGTGATAGGGTGATTTAAGATAAAACAGCAGATTTAGGTTACTACCATGAAGTAGTTGTTGACGAGCAACAGCCAAAAGTGGAAGAGGAAAAGTAAGCGTCTTAGCCATGTCCAAAATAATACCCTTCAAATCAAAATATTCCATTAGAATTCTTTTATGTCATAAAAACATCATGAAAGAGGTCGAAAAGAGATGATCGTACATGATAATTCAAAGGCCAAAAAGTGTTTATATTAAAATTTGGTACTTGTAATCTTTGCAGTATTAGCTTATGATAATTAACTTACATGATTAGAATTGTTCTCGATATGATTGTTAAAAGAAAAAAAAAAGTAAAATTAACATATACTGGTAATAGAAGTTTTAATTAAGTATACAAAACCATTAAGTTGAAAAAAATAGAGTAAACATTATGATTTGTTATTAACATACATGAAAATCTATCTACCACAAAAACAAACTCGTCAGTTGTGGTGGACAGTTTTAGGAATCTATCAAGATTAAAATTGAAACCCTTTACTCAAAAAGCAAAGAAAGAAAGTTCCTTAATCAATGATCTAAACATGAACTTGATATATACTTAATATTTGGAGTAAGCTTATTAAAAGTACAATATGCAAGCAACGAAACTTTTAAAAGAAAATAGTTGCCTAGTAATAACATGAAAACTGATTAGCTCCTAGAACAATATTGCATACAGAAGTATCCCTTACAACAGACTAAACTCTACAAAGCTCAAGAATTTGTCATTCTTACCAAATTCTGAATAACTGGATTCAGGAACTGAAGTTTCGCATCACCCCTCAATAACTGGGGAATGTGATTCTTGAAAATCCTGCATTTGAACACCCCCACAAAAATATAAATGAACACCAAAAACAAAATAATATGTGTGGTTATAAGCATCAAACAAAGTACAAGCAGGAAGTCAGATACACATTAACCATCTAAAATCATGAAAAAGCAATAGCTTCAGCTGATGACTCAGAATCCTTGGATTGATAGGAAACCTTGTGTAGGGAAAATTTGGCCATTGAGTTTTTGAGTGGTTATTTCGAGTGTATGGCCATCATATGAGAAATGGATAAAGGTAGACAGGTTTAGGGTATAGAGGTGGGTTGTCATGTATAGATTGTGCTTCAAACTGGGCATATTTGATCTTTATGAGACAGCTTGAGGAGGAGTATTTTTTTGTAATTAGGTTGTGTTTCATGATGTCAGGTTTTTGAGCCAGACAGACCTACAGTATTATATTATTGTCACAGTAGGAGAAAATAAAATAAGAAAACACAATTTAGGTAGCATCAAACCATGAATTTCCAGCAGCATTGGAAATGATATCATAGAGAATTAATGGATGAATCCCAACTTTAGCACCAAGAGAAATAGCCTCTACAGAAGCAATAAGGTGAATGCCCTCAAGTAGTTCATTAACCATTTTGGATTTGCTGCAATAAGAAGAGAATCAAAATTGAATAGCAAATTCTAAAGCATCAAGTACCACAAGAAAAACTTTAAAGTATCCAAATAACTTCATCATTTCAAGAAACACACAAGGAAACAATTGATGTTATCAAATTAGCTTGTCAGTAATTATTTAACTTTCATATAAAATAACTACCATAACAATTAGATAAAAGAACTTTTTAACTTAATAGCAATTCATTGTAAAAAAAAAAAAATAGTTTTAAAGACTGAAAAGAATGCATACCTTCCGGCACCAACTTCACCCTCAAAGACATAAAGCTTTTCACACATAGCTGTTAGCAAAACACAATAATTTGACTGAGAGATGAAAAAGACACATTATAAAGTATGGAACCACATTAGGAAGTTCTCACAAGAATATTTAAGATGATACAAACAGATTTACCAGAGAGAAATGGCCGCGCCCTTGCAATGGCATTTGACCTTCCTGAAGATGTTATCTAAACAGTTTACATGTTACCAATTCAGTCAATGTAAACAGTAACTAATGCCAAGATTATTACGAGTCTAGGGAAAAAAAAGCCAAAAGAAGAAACAATATTATTTAAGATATATGTTACCATGACTTTCCCTTTCAAAACCTCAGACATTGCCCGAGAGACATAGGCATCAACCAGATAAGCTGTCTCACCATTCTCTGTAAGAGAAAAAAACAGGATAATGTCAGCAAAACTTTGGTGACTGGTGTTGCATATAATAGAAGGAAAGCAAATATGAGAATAGTGAAGAGATAATTAGTATGTACAACAACTTGCATTATATAAATAAACATGGCTCTATGATCACAGTTTTGGAATCACCCCTCACTGTTAATTAATTGATGGAACCAATAAAATAGGAAGATGAAGATGTAGGAGTTTCAAAAATGTGCCCTTGTTTGGAACATAAGACTAGTGAAGAGATAATTAGTATGTACAATAACTTGCATTATTGGGGCTCAAAATATGCAAAAGTGGTTGCCTGAAAGATTCTTCTCCAATTTCTGGAAATGTGATGGCAGCATGGTTGAACGAAGAATTAAGACAGAGCCTTTGTGCAACCCTGCAAACACATAAAAGTCTACCATCTCTAGATCAGAAAAGTCACCAAAGTTTATATTACCAAGTTAATATAACTCTATCTATATACCTTTTAATGCACCGTCGTGACCAAAGATTACATCATCAATTTGATCAGCATGAGATATTAGCACAACCAAAGCTGCTACATCTGCACATGGAAACACAAACATGAATGGAACCAAGTAGATATAAAACATTGGATATAATGAGATTTGTTAAAGGTAAATTTTTTGTACATGAGAAAGATCACATAAAACATTAACTAATTCCATTGACCTCCCTTAAGGTCTGGTCTAAATCAGATAAACCTTGTTTGTTAATTTTTTTACGCAGAGACTTCTGCAGCCTTTAGTGCTCATACATCAAATCTTTGCTTTTAGGATTTTACAGTAATTTTGTAATACTCATAAGAAAAATAAGTTCATGCTTGGCTTAGCTTAATTATTGTACTTCTCACAAATCCAAACACAACATTCACAAATTCATTTTCTTTTGAATTCCTTAATTTTCTAAGAAACTAAACAAAACCAAAAGGAAATCCATGCACAGTCAAACAAGGTTACCACATGATTATCGTCCAAACTGTACTACACCAAAACTAATATCCCATTAATTCATGAATAGAATCACTTAGAAAAGAAGAAATGGAACTTAATATTTTTTCTCAAACTACAAAACATCTGATTATACTCCATTATATTCACATTTACACTCTGTACCTCACATGCATACAAGGCTGCTAATTCGAGGCTCATGTCCATATACTGAGCAGAATTTAATGAATATAAAGAAAAAGAGAAGGGAAATAAAAAAGAGTCTAACTGAATACAATATGCGAACTAAGCAGAATTTAAAGAATATAAAGGAAAACAAAGGGAACAGAAAAGAAGTTAACCAAATAAGAACCCAATGTAGAATACCTTTCCCTGCCTCCTGAGGGCTCGCACATCTAGATCCCCCTAGCTTCAGAAACTCATTTATCAAAGGCTCATGTATCTGTTGATAAAAAAATACAAACATTCAAACATGAAATTAACACTTTGAACAATATATAATAATATCAGGAACAACCTTAGAGTACAGTCAATTTAATTTGTGGTTGTATATCAGAAAGAGTGGAGTGGAATGTGTGACAAGCAAATATTTTATCTTAAATTTTATTTTTGAAAGACTAAAGCATGGTTTTTTGTACATCATTCAGATATAAAGCTCGGCAAAATCCTAATGAATGTACCTCATTTTTTACTGCAGTTGTCATTTCAAAATAAACAATGTTAAATTATATAAAAATCAGAAACAATTACCAAAAGCTTCCAAGGACTTCAAAATCATATAACAACAAAAATTTAAGTATATATATGAGAATAACAACTTCATTAAAAGTTCACTACGACAAATATTCCAGTATTAACAACTTCATCAAAAGTTCAGGACGAAAAAATTTCCAGTATTTAAAATTCATAAATAAATAAAATTAAATTCAAATTTTTCAGTATTAACAACTTCATCAAAAGTTCAGTACGAAAATTTTTCCAGTATCTTAAGTTCATAAATATATAAAATTAAATTCAAATTTTTCAGTATTAACAACTTCATCAAAAGTTCAGTACGGAATATTTTCCAGTATTTTAAATTCATAAATAAATAACATCTTCAAATTTTCCAACATTAACAACATCATCGAAAGTTCAGTACGATAAATTTTCCAGTACATTAAATTAATTAATATATAAATAAATAAAATGAAGTCAAATGCAACAGAACGAAAAGCTTCTGAGACATCCAAACCAAGCCGCCGAGCAACAACTATTCAACAAATGCAATTATATATATATATATGATGATGATGATGATGAACAAATTACATAAAAAAAATTAGAACGAAAAGGAACCTCAAAAGCCTGGATATTGTAACCGGAGCGAAGAAGTGAAGCGGCCATGTCCAAGCTCAGTTCGTCCAGGCCGACGAAGCCAACACAACCTTGAGACGCCATTGCAATTCCACGGAGAGAGAATTTTTTGTTTTTCTCTGTTTTTTTTTTTTTTTTTTTTTAATAATTTTTTTTCAACCGTCCAGAGCACTTTGAAGTATCAAAATACTAATAATCCTCCTCTCTTCACCGTTACACGCCACTTCTCTATCGTCAGTTTTCAATTGCGCGAGACATTTGAATAACCGTACCTGTATATATAAAATATTTTTATATTAATCTTTTAATTTGCTGAGCTGGCATCTCTACTATTTTCCAGTTTCCCTGCATTTGCTCCTTTTTTTTATTCTCTGAATTACGTTACAGGTACAGATTCTTCAAATCTTAAATCAAATCCTCAAAAGTTATTAAATTTCTTATTTTGCACGTGACTAAAAAGCAACTTTAATTTTTTTTTTTAAATATTTTTGTTGATAAAGTAAGAGAATAAATTATTAATTAATTTGGATGTGCAAATTTTTTGGGTATTTTCCGAGGGTGGTTTGGTTGGTTAGAGAATCTTTGGTGGAGCAGGGTTTAGGACAAGACTATAACACCTTTTTTTGTTTCATTAATTGCATTCTTGGCACTGACTAGGATGCCTCCTTCAAACTCGTTTATCCTTTTGCTACTTGCATAGGAAAAGGTCTGTTTTTTTAGTAATTATTGTATGTACGTCCGTCTAATTATTTAATATTTAAGAGCTATATTAAATAAAATAATATTATATTAATAATCTTTTTTCATAAAATTTTTTTCATAATTCTGACGTGATAATTTATAATTGATTGGTTCACAACAGATCCCATATAAATCTTGTATGCAGTGACGAATTCAGAAATTTCTGTTAGGATGGATCAAAATAAAAATTGATTATACATTAATATTTTTGTCCATTAATATTTTTTTTAAGATAGGTTAAAATATATAAATTATACATATTAATATTTAAAAAAAAAATTGAGGATGGGTTAAATTGGTTAGATCCGCCCATATTTATATGAATTTCACTAATTAATTATGAACTGATCAATTATAAATTATCACGTTAAAATTATGAGAAAATGATATAGTATTATTCTATTAAATATTATCGTGATCGATTTGTATTTGTTAGATACACGATAAAAATATCTGAGAAAATAATGACAAAAACTACGTGAAGGCGAGTGGGGGATGATGACCCCACTTATCTTGTGCACCGACTTTTGTTTTTATTTTTTGCGTCTAGTTTATTTATGATATGGGTTATTGACTTATTGTCGCTTACATCCCTTAACTTGCAAAGTTGATTGTGTAATTACAAATTTACCCTTTGACTAAAACCTAGCTATTTGTGATATGATCATCGTGAGATTTTATGATCACATTAATTTTATGTTTCGAAATTAATTGATTATTGTAAACTTAAATTTAACAATATTGACATAATTATGTTTTCAACTGTTGGATAAAGGATTCTATGGAACTTTTCGTTTAACTTTTCGAACTCAATCTTATTCTACTATCCTACTTTAAAAAATGAAAAACGTGTTTGTTTTAATATTAACTATTCAATTCAAAATTTAATTATATTTTATTTAATTTAAAATATTTAATAATTATTTTTCTCAATAAAAATTTATAAATTAACAAAAACATCCGCACCCATCCAAGCAACAGTTGCCCACCAACAATCACTGTGGACCGTCACAACTGCTATTGTCGATCGCCGACATCAGAATGATGCACAATCGGTTGGATTTGGCCAATCGTGTGTCATTCCGGTGACTTCCAACCACCGTCCAACGGTGGTGGCCGACTGTCAATAATTAGTTGAGTGGGTAGAGGTATTTTTGTTAATTTATAAACTTTTATTGTGGAGGTATTTTTGTAAATTTATAAACTTTTATTATGGAGGTGTACTAAATTAACAAATATAGGGGGTTAAAAATAATTTAAATATTTTTAAAAAATATACTAAATACATTCTCATAATTATATCATATTTGATTAAATCTTATCCTATCATATTATTTAAAAAAAAATTGTATTAAACGGAGCCTATACTTTTAGGGGATACTATCATTGACCTCCCTTAAGCTTTCAGATTCTACAGTGACACCCCATATGCATTAAAAACTAAAAAGCTTAATGGAGCTAAAATTGCCACCAAATCCTACTAATCCATTGATTCAATCATTATTCTTTTCTTTTCTTTCAAAATTTTCCACCCAATTATGATGTCACGTGAAAACTGCAAAACATGTGCAAAACAAGATTGCAAATATATTTTATTTATAAATAATATATTTCACCTCTTATTTTGGCCCCCTTTATTCCTTAAGCTTACTATTTGACCCTCTTAAATACAATTTTCTAAATATATTTTTTTCTTTTGATCCCCTTATTTCTCAAGGGACAAATAAAAGTAACCCTTTAATCAATTTCCAAATCTTTTTTGTTATATTGCACTTTTTTTCATTCAATCAAGCATTAATCTATTGATTTTATATTTAATTTCGTGATGGAATTATTAAAAATGTTACTATTTTGGGTGCATATTTTAATCATGTGTGTATTGAGTTGAGAATAATAAATGGGAAGATAAAATATCTTTCTAAAGAAACAATCATGAAAATGTGTTTTTTATATAAAGATTAAAAAAAAAAAAAAAATTAATGGGTACTTGTTTCTAGTGTGAATAAGACTGGAACAACTAAATTTGTACAGGGTGATGCTCATCCATTGAGAAAGAAGGAAACAAAAATTGGAAATTTCTTGGTAATTTCTTGGAAATTTCTTATATTTTTGTTTGTGTTTTATATTATTGGTGAAGTCAAATAGTAGAATGGGCTCAATAGGACAATTTGCAAAAAAATAAAGAAATAACAATCTATATATTAATTTTATTAAGTATACATATTATATTTTTTTACCAAATAATTCAAATTCATAGATTTTCTATACATATAAAATAATTACGGGCTGTAATGTCAACCCATATAATGTAACATGCATTGGTCCATGGCTATTTTGAAATAATTAAATTGACTAAGAGGCATAATGGTCATTTACTTTTGATGAATATGTTTATTAACTGCAGTTTGAGAGTTAATAAAACTGTTATATAAAAGGGGTTCTCTCTCTGTTCCTCACGTAAGTTTTTCTTTATCCATAAAAAAGAAATATGCTATTACAATAATGGAATAAAGGGAGAGATATTACCTTTTTTCAAAGTTCATTAAGAAATTAATCATGAAACCAAATATGTATTACTCTCACCAAGATTCAAATTATGAGATTTATGTTTATGTGATTTAGGGCATAGAAATATAATTATATTATTGATTATTTGCCATTGATGAAATTGCAATTAAGTGTTACAATTGATTGTATAAAAGATGATCATATATAGTTAAATCTCGATAAATTAATATCGTTCGGACCATGAAAATTTATTAATTAATTGACATATTATTTAATTGTATAAATTAATAAGATATTCTTTATTTTCTTTTTCTAAAATATTGAACTTACTGCATGTACATATTGTGTATAGTTAATGTGGTATAGGAAATAAGTCATAATTAATGTAGTATATAAAAAATTGTTTTCTCCTTGTAAAAATCATATTGTATTTCTTCTTGTTGTATATAAATACATTGAGCCTTTTTTTCTTGTATATAAATATATTAGTCTATAAGAGTCATATTTTACAAAGGTCTCGTAATTAAATCATGTATATATTTTTTTAATGTATAGGGAGATTATTAATTTATAATCAAGTGGTATTTATGTGTTTTTTTTTAATATATTATATTATAAATTTAATGAATTATTCTAAGTTGAGACGGTCGAAAACATTATTTAACCCAACGTTCTAAGTTGAGACGGTCGAAAACATTATTTAACCAAAATTATTAATTTATCAAGGTTTAATAGGACTCAATTATTGGTTTCTAACTTTATGGCTAATATTTCAACGTAGATTTCTAAAATATTGACTTTAAAGTAAAGTGGTTGCAAAAAGTTGATGTCATGTAACTTTCAAGGGGTAATATTGCAGTATCAATTAGATAATATTATCGATTATATAAAAAATCTTCCGGTATAGAAATACAATATACGGAAAAGATACAACCACCGAAGGTTATATACCGAATAACATGGTAAAATCTTGACCATTGATTAATATTAAGTTAAAATTAATTAACGGTCAGGATTTTGTCACGTTATTCGGTGCATGAATTTGGTGTACTATTTCGATGACTGTAACATTACTCTGCAATATATACGCCCCTGTTTCTTTAACTTTTTAAAACTCTATGCTCTGCTTGTTTAACTTTTTAAAACTATATTTTGTTATCATATCCTAAAATAAACAGTAAAAACGTGTTTGTTTTAATATTGATAAAATTGAATTCAAAATCTAATCCTATTCAAAGACATATTTTAGGCTAAAAATGAAAAATCCAATCCTGTTTCTACTTTTCAATCATATCCTATTAAACTCAAAATATTTAACAACTCAAAATATTCAACTCAAAACATTCATAATAAAAGTTTATAAATTAACAAACACAACCCCACCTACCCAAGCCATTATTAGCAACAGTAATCATCGTCGGTCATCAATACTGGATGATGCATGATCGATCAGATCTACCTGATTGTGCACTGATCCGATCATTTTTTGCCAGATCCACCATAGATATGGTCGAAAATAGCCAGATCTACAGCCAAGAACCAGTAATCTGGTCATAGTATGGCTAGATCAGCGCATAATCAACCAGATCCAGCCGGTCGTATATCATTCCGACGACTTTCGGCCACTGTCCAGCGGTGGTGGTTGGTTGTCGACAGTCGGTTGGGTGGGTGGGGGTGTTTTTATTAATTTATAAACTTTTGTTGTGAGGGGAGGGGGGTGTTAGCTAAATTAACAAATATAGGGGTTAAAATAATCTAAATCCGAAAATGTTTTTCAAAAATGTACCAAATAACTATTCTATATTTTTATCCAAATGTGATATAATTTTCAAATATTATACCAAACACATTCTCAGAATCCTATCATATTTGATTTAATCCTATCTAATCTTATTTTGAATAGTTTTATAGAATATCATATTTCATTTAATTTACCAAACAGACCTTGAATATCAAATAATATATCATCTTATTTGATATTGTTAC